GTCACAGGCCCTTCCCTACACTCTAGTGGACTATTTCAGTGGTGATGAACATAGTCGAGTTTTGTCACAGGCCCTTCCCTACACTCTAGTGGACTATTTCAGAGGTGATGGACATAGTCGAGTTTTGTCACAGACCCTTCTCTACGCTCTAGTGGACTATTTCAGAGGTGATGGACATAGACGAGTTTTGTCACAGGCCCTTCCCTACACTCTAGTGGACTATTTCAGAGGTGATGGACATACACGAGTTTTGTCACAGGCCCTTCCCTACACTCTAGTGGACTATTTCAGTGGTGATGAACATAGTCGAGTTTTGTCACAGGCCCTTCCCTACACTCTAGTGGACTATTTCAGTGGTGATGGACATAGACGAGTTTTGTCACAGGCCCTTCCCTACACTCTAGTGGACTATTTCAGTGGTGATGGACATAGACGAGTTTTGTCACAGGCCCTTCCCTACACTCTAGTGGACTATTTCAGTGGTGATGGACATAGACGAGTTTTGTCACAGGCCCTTCCCTACACTCTAGTGGACTATTTCAGTGGTGATGGACATAGACGAGTTTTGTCACAGGCCCTTCCTACGCTCTAGTGGACTATTTCAGAGGTGATGGACATAGACGAGTTTTGTCACAGGCCCTTCCCTACGCTCTAGTGGACTATTTCAGAGGTGATGGACATAGACGAGTTTTGTGACAGGCCCTTCCCTACACTCTAGTGGACTATTTCAGTGGTGATGGACATAGACGAGTTTTGTCACAGACCCTTCCCTACACTCTAGTGGACTATTTCAGAGGTGATGGACATACACGAGTTTTGTGACAGGCCCTTCCTTACAGTCTAATGGGCTATTTCAGTGGTGATGGACATAGACGAGTTTTGTCACAGGCCCTTCCCTACACTCTAGTGGACTATTTCAGAGGTGATGGACATACACGAGTTTTGTGACAGGCCCTTCCCTACACTCTAGTGGACTATTTCAGTGGTGATGAACATAGTCGAGTTTTGTCACAGGCCCTTCCCTACACTCTAGTGGACTATTTCAGAGGTGATGGACATAGACGAGTTTTGTCACAGACCCTTCTCTACGCTCTAGTGGACTATTTCAGAGGTGATGGACATAGACGAGTTTTGTCACAGGCCCTTCCCTACACTCTAGTGGACTATTTCAGAGGTGATGGACATACACAAGTTTTGTCACAGGCCCTTCCCTACACTCTAGTGGACTATTTCAGTGGTGATGAACATAGTCGAGTTTTGTCTGAGCCCTTCCCTACACTCTAGTGGACTATTTCAGTGGTGATGGACATAGACGAGTTTTGTCACAGGCCCTTCCCTACACTCTAGTGGACTATTTCAGTGGTGATGGACATAGACGAGTTTTGTCACAGGCCCTTCCCTACACTCTAGTGGACTATTTCAGTGGTGATGGACATAGACGAGTTTTGTCACAGGCCCTTCCCTACACTCTAGTGGACTATTTCAGTGGTGATGGACATAGACGAGTTTTGTCACAGGCCCTTCCCTACGCTCTAGTGGACTATTTCAGAGGTGATGGACATAGACGAGTTTTGTCACAGGCCCTTCCCTACGCTCTAGTGGACTATTTCAGAGGTGATGGACATAGACGAGTTTTGTCACAGGCCCTTCCCTACACTCTAGTGGACTATTTCAGTGGTGATGGACATAGACGAGTTTTGTCACAGACCCTTCCCTACACTCTAGTGGACTATTTCAGAGGTGATGGACATACACGAGTTTTGTGACAGGCCCTTCCTTACAGTCTAATGGGCTATTTCAGTGGTGATGGACATAGACGAGTTTTGTCACAGGCCCTTCCCTACACTCTAGTGGACTATTTCAGAGGTGATGGACATACACGAGTTTTGTGACAGGCCCTTCCCTACACTCTAGTGGACTATTTCAGTGGTGATGGACATAGACGGGTTTTGTCACAGGCCCTTCCCTACACTCTAGTGGACTATTTCAGAGGTGATGGACATACACGAGATTTGTGACAGGCCCTTCCCTACACTCTAGTGGACTATTTCAGTGGTGATGGACATAGACGGGTTTTGTCACAGGCCCTTCCCTACACTCTAGTGGACTATTTCAGTGGTGATGGACATAGACGGGTTTTGTGACAGGCCCTTCCCTACACTCTAGTGGACTATTTCAGTGGTGATGGACATAGACGAGTTTTGTCACAGGCCCTTCCCTACACTCTAGTGGACTATTTCAGTGGTGATGGACATAGACGAGTTTTGTCACAGGCCCTTCCCTACGCTCTAGTGGACTATTTCAGTGGTGATGGACATAGACGAGTTTTGTCACAGGCCCTTCCCTACACTCTAGTGGACTATTTCAGTGGTGATGGACATAGACGAGTTTTGTCACAGGCCCTTCCCTACACTCTAGTGGACTATTTCAGTGGTGATGGACATAGACGAGTTTTGTGACAGGCCCTTCCTTACAGTCTAATGGGCTATTTCAGTGGTGATGGACATAGACGAGTTTTGTGACAGGCCCTTCCTTACAGTCTAATGGGCTATTTCAGTGGTGATGGACATAGACGAGTTTTGTGACAGGCCCTTCCTTACACTCTAGTGTACTATTTCAGTGGTGATGGACATAGACGAGTTTTGTGACAGGCCCTTCCCTACACTCTAGTGGACTATTTCAGTTGTGATGGACATAGACGAGTTTTGTCACAGACCCTTCCCTACACTCTAGTGGACTATTTCAGTGCATATTCTATTGAGAACCAGTTTACACCGGAATGCGCACGTGGTCAAGTGGATGGAGGAGTACTCCACAAAATCATACCCTTGCTTCCAATTTATCCGTTACTTCAATGACCATAGGTTACTGTCGGCTACTTCTGCCTCAAATCCACCAGTTGTCAAGTGGGTCACGTTATAGACACCAGCCCTGAGTTTAGTCGACAAAACCCGTCAACATCCGGGTTAGAAGTGGTCTTCAGCAACCCAGATCGTTGATGGTGTCATCCTATCCTAATATTCCGTTGATCGATGCTGAGGACATCAGTCACCGGATTGTCTGGTCCAGACTCGATACTTTATAAGCCGTCGTCATGTAACTTGAAAATTAAGTCCGGCGTTAAGCAGCAAACAAAGAAACAAATGTAAGTCGACTATAACAATTAACAGAAGGTACTAAGGACCTGGGTCCCGTTCCTCAAAGCGATCCTAAGTCTATGTTAAAGTATGGAGTTACGACTGTCGTAGCGCTACGATCGCTTAGAGGAACGGGGCCCAGGGCCTAGATTTTCGAAGCTCTCTTAGCGCTAAGATAGTCGTAAGTTAATGTTAATGTATGGCCCTTACGACTATCTTAGCGCTAAGAGAGCTTCGAAAATCTAGGCCCTGTTCCTGAAAGCGATCGTAGCGCTAAGGTGATCGTAACTCCCATACTTTATCATAGACTTACGACTGTCGTAGCGCTACGATCGCTTTGAGGAACGGGACACAGGGCCTTCTTCACATTTTAGCACTAAGGTGATCGTAAGTCACTAACGTAACCTTTGTGCAATGTTAAAGAACGGGAGTTAAGGTTAACCTTAGTAAAGGTTGCTTCGTGAAAGGAGCCCCAGGTCCCGGGCCTAGATTTTCGAAGCCCTCCTAGTGTTAAGATAGTCATAAGTGCCATACATTATCTAGCCCTAAGAGAGCTTCGAAAATCAAGGCCCAGTTCCACGATCCCACTGCGTCAGAGCGTATTGTATGAACGGGAATATCGTATCACATTTTCATCGTGCACGCGTGATCATCCTGACAGTTTTATTTACGCCATTTACAACACAATGAAACACTAACTAGGTAAACTGGGCCTCCTCTGCCTGGGGGTGAGTGCGTCTAAACACGATTTGTGATCGTCAGTGGCGACCACATACAAAGTTTCCTTTCCATCAATCGTGGTACAGTTTATTGCGCGTATCAATCAAATTGCTACAGAAGACAGCTTTGTTTCAACGTAATTCAGTGCGTGCGAACTATCTTTGTTTTGCCAGGTTAATGAATTTTGGGCATTGGAGATAATGTGAGAATAAATAGGGTGAATCACACGTGAGAAATGCTGCTTTTAGAAATACATGCTCCATTTGGCACGTTAAGAGCGGGTTTTACGTATGTAACCCATTTTGGAATCAAACCGGGAATTTCGCCATGACGACTGAACACTGTTATAGCAATGCCAGCCCACAGCGTAGTACACCTCACTCAGTAATATTCCAAGTTCCAACTGTAAACTGACCCGTTTGGGACAGAAAATCGTCAGCTTGACACCTAGAGCATGGATCCACACAATTTCGTTTCCGTGCCATGAAATCAACCTAACAAAGCCACGAAATCGACCTAACCATGCCATGAAATCGACCTTTTGGCCAAACCTGACCACTCGATCCATTGGTGGCCTCTTGGGATACTCAGGTGTTTTCTGCTTTTAATTTTCCATTTACAAAAGTTCAAAATGTGGCCCTTGTGCACTACAGCAGTTAACGACTAACATCGCTAAATTAAAACTACTGCTTTATTAATGAAGTGTTAATAATTAAACATAATCAGCGTTCTTGTAAAAATCCTTTGCTTTTGTTATTTTGGAGAGTAAAAGGGAAAACTAATGATGTATTTGTTATCCTTTTATCCCAGAACTTTTGTTGGGCGGTGGGGTAGCCTAGTCGCTCTGAAGACCCGGGTTCGATTCCCTACATGGGCACAATGTGTGGAGCCCATTTCTGGTGTCCCCCGCCGTGATGTTGCTGGAATATTGCTAAAAGCGGCGCAAAGCTAAACTCACTCACCCACCCCAGTGCTTTTGTCATGTACAAGCTGAGGTCCTTCAGATATTAATTACCACAGAGACAAATTGTTAATTACCAGGAGAAACTCTGTGAAGTAACAAGTTTGGAGAAAGTGAGGTTTCCTTCATTGTAGTCCGATCAACGCCGAGTCACAATGTACAATCTTGTCCTTTTGTTTCAGAATGAAGTCCCTACTGGTATCAACGCTGCTGCTTTGTTTCGTTAGTGAAATCAACACGTTAAAGAGAGGCATCTTCCCACCGTATAACTTTCTGTGTTCGGGTACCGGTATTAAGGCTGTAGACTTTGACTGCACAGGCTTTTTACAATGTATTGACACGACGGCCCACTGGCAAACATGTCCACCAAATCAATACTTTGATGGAGCTGTGAGCTGTTCTGGAGACAGCAGGAACTGTAAAAATTTAACAGGTATGCTTTTTTCATTGTTTTATGTAAATAATAATAAAGTTAATATTCATATAGCGCCTGTTCCAACAAGTTGCTCAGAGGTCCTCAGACAAAGGCACTGTCAAAAAGCTGTGTTTTAAGCATTCGCTTGAACTGGTGGAGTTGTCCTGGATGTTGTTTGAGAGATTGTTCAACAATATGTGTCCTGCTTCGGAAAAACATCTGTCACCACGGGTCTTTTCTTTTGGTGGGTGGTATTTCCAATATTCGTGATGTTCTTTTTCTCAGAGTCCGCCTGGGGATGTAATTGGACATAATTATGTTCACTGTTGTAGGGTGGAGCGAGATCACGCAGAAACTTTAACATGCAGACAGGGATCTTGAACATAATTCTTTGTCGAATCGATAACGAGTGAAGCCATGCCTTTGTAGTTATTTGTTGTTTAATATTGCTGACTGGAGTGCCACATGGTCACTTACAGCTGGCATATTGCTGACTGGAGTGCCACATGGTCACTTACAGCTGGCATATTGCTGACTGGACTGCCATATGGTCACTTACAGCTGGCATATTGCTGACTGGAGTGCCATATTACAGCTCGCTGACTTAGTGCCATATGCTGGCTGGCATATTGCTGACTGGAGTGCCATATGGTCACTTACAGCTGGCATATTGCTGACTGGAGTGCCATATGGTCACTTACAGCTGGCATATTGCTGACTGGAGTGCCATATGGTCACTTACAGCTGGCATATTGCTGACTGGAGGCCCATATGGCCACTTACAGCTGGAATATTGCGCTCATCACAACGTTGCATTCAGCAACGTCATAACTGTATGACGTCGGTCTGTACAAATTCGCGTGTGGACCCGCCAATCCACTGATTGACATTGAGGCATCACTATGCGCAGTTCCAGCTACATGGCGACGGTTTGTAAATAATCGAATCTGGACCATACAATCCAGTGATCAAAAGCATGAGCATCAATCTACGCAACTGGGATACGATAACATGTGTCAACCAAGTCAGTGAGAATGACTACCCGATCCAATTTGTAGCCTCTTACAACAAGCAATGGTTGCTGTAGATCAAATCTAAGCCGTCTTCATGGGTTTTTATCTTAAATAAAGTATGTCTGAGCAAAACATTACACACATTCCTTTTGCAAAATTCTTAACTATTTGCTGGAATGAACACGTGGACAAACCATGTTATCCGAGTTGTGTAGATTGAAGCTCATGCTTTTGATCACTGGATTGTCTGGTCCAGATTCGATTGTTCAAAGGCGTGAATAAGCAGTCGTGCATACTCAATGTATTAATGAATGCACGGTTAAAAAAACAAAAACTACCTGGTATTGCCTTATAGTGTCCAGTTGACATAATAGGGGTTGTTCCTTCATACAGGAATGGTCTGAAATATAACTGTGAGGAACGGATAATTCTAAATGCCATGATATAGGTGTATTTCCTTCAAAAGCATTGCTTTCAGTAATATCCCAACATGTCTGTAAATAATCTGGTCTGGACCAGACAATCTGCTGATTCATACCTTGAGTATCGATCTACGAAATGAAATACGATGACATGCATCAACCAAGTCAGCAACACGTGAAGGTCCGGGTTAGAATATTGATCTTCAGTAACCCATGCTTGTCGTAAGAGCTGACTAACGGGATCGGGTGCTCAGACTCGCTGACTTGGTTGACCGCATGTCATCGGTTCCCAATGGCGTAGATCGATGCTCATGCTGTTGAACACTGGATTGTCTGGTCCAGACCTGATTATTTACAGACCAACGTCATATAGCTGGAGTATTGCTGAGTGCGGCGTAAAACACCAAGCAACCAAGTCAACGAGCCTGACCACCCGATCCCGTTAGTCGAACCGTGAAGACCAACTCTTACACGGGTAGTAACGGGCTATTTCATACACACAGAAGTGGGAGAATATTCCCTTATTAACTGAATTGTGATTGTGTAAAGCATTGTATAATTCTGTTCAATCCCTCTGTCTTTCCTTGCAGAGGTTGCCAACACGACGTGCCCGTTCCACTCCACATTGACATTCCCTCATCCAGACAGCTGTGCCAAGTTCTATAACTGTAACAGAACCATCCCTATTGATGGGCTGTTGCAGTTTGAAGACGAGTGTCCTTTCCCCCCTGCTTTACGACTCCAACACCAAAGAGTGCAGCGACCCCGACATCAACCCCAACATCACCTGCCAAGCCCCAGCACCGCTGGACCAGTGTGAGTATTACACTGTTGACAAAAAAAATAAAAAAATGAAATATCTAAACTGACGTTCCAAAGAAAGTACACACTCGGTTCTTTGGTAAAATATTTTCTTTATAACAGCATTTATATTTAAAAAAAGTGTTTTGATTCTGCCTTGTCACAAACATTGTGCAAGTGTTTCCAAAACACCGCGGATATTGTACCCAATTACAACATTGCTAGCAAAATATTTATGGTTTTATTGGGAATAGTCCCAAAACTATTTTGTGTACTTTCTTATGTTCGTCAGTATAATTTATTGATCATTTTCTGTTTGTTGGTTGTTAAAGTCGCACTCAGCAATACTTAAGCTTTGTGGGTAAATAATCGAGCCTGGACCAGACCATCCCGTGATTGACACCATGAGCATCGATCTACGCAACTGAGATACGAAGACGTGTGTCAACCAAGTTAGCGAGTCTGACCACCCGATCCCTTTAGTCGCCTCCTACGACAAGCGTGGGTTGCTGAAGAACATTTGATAGCATCCACGCAATAGTGAGTGAGTTTAGTTTTACGCCGCACTCAGCAATAGTCCAGCTATATGGCGGCGGTCTGTAAATAATCGAGTCTGGACCAGACAACCCAGTGATCAACAGCATCCATGCAATAAAGGCAACTGGGCATATTCATTATCGTCGTTGTTAACCTCGTCAGTGACGATGCTGAATGTTGGTCATGTTTCCATGGTACCCATGGCGTTGAAGTTGCTCATTATATCAACCACTGGTTTAACAGTTTGCTGACATAAAATAACAATTATGTATGTGTACAGGTTCCTACCATCTGGAGTGTGGTCGGCCCGTGTGCACAGGCCTCCCGGACGGAGAGCACGGATACTCCACGCAACCCTTCGACGTGGAGTACGTTATCTGTAAAAATGGCCTTGTCGACATGGTCAAACGTTGTACCCGTCAGGGAGAAGTATTCGACCCAATAGCCAGACTGTGCACAACCAATTATAAACGTAAGTAAGATGATATTTGAACTATACATTCACGGACCTTGAAGCAATGAATCCATGGGTTTGATTTTCTCGGGCGCTGCTATTTGCTGTTCAGAGTTGCCTCCCTTTCCCGTGCAGAACCATTTCGTGGGTTGAAAATCCCGACTGGCGTTATTGTGTCTATGATTTAGTCAGCACATAACAGCGCTGCTGAGGTTCACCAAAACCTGCATCAGTTCGTGTTTTCTTACCACATAGGGCGGCGGGTAGCCGAATGGTTAAAGCGTTAGCTCCCCACGCCGAAGACTAGGGTTCGATTCCCCACATGGGTTCAATGTTTGAAGCTAGTGTCCCCCGCCGTGATATTGCTGAAAGCGGCGTAAAACTAAATTCAGCCATTCACTCACTCACTCCTACCACATCCCTGTTGTATAGCGGGGATATTGTTCAGAATGGCGTTATATCGGACCCACTCACTATAACGAAGCAAAGCAAAATATCAGCAACGGTGTTCACCAGTTTTGAGCCGATATGCGAATAACCGCGCTTTTCCCCTTAAACATCATAATGTCGATTATATGGATCATCCTTTCGCGTATTTCGAAACAGAATTCGGTTTGGAAGCTTTCTATAATCATCGTTCGCTGGTTTGTATCTTATATTAAAAATCTGACTCACTTCACGTTCTCCGCGAACATGAAATTGTCAACTTTCATATTTACCGATTCCTTTACAGCAAAACCGTCATACTTCCGGTTGAAAATATGCCTCTTTGTTATCTGCAAGCATAAGTGTTTTTCTGATTTGCAACTTGCTGTTAACAACATTCACTGTCTTGTATTCACGTGATAATAGATCCATTTCCTACAACTGTCAATTGGGTCCAAGGCTAGTATTAACAAGAATCATTATTCTACTTCCCAGCTTCTAAAATGCCACTCAGACAAGCTAATATTAACGTTCCGTGGCTTGTTGAAGCGGCTTGGTGACCCAATGGTTACAGCGTTCACTCGTCACGCAAATGAACAGGGTCATTTTACCCACAGGAGCAAAATATGTAAACGCCATGTTTGGTCTAAAAGTGACGTAAAACCATACTCTCTCAAGACATTATTATGAATATTTTTACAGATCAATATGGACATCATCATCATCATCATCATCATCATCGTGTCATTATTATTGTTGTTCTTGTTATACTTTCGATCTATCAACTGATATTTAAACATTATTCAATTCTGATCTGTGAACGTTCGCCGTTCAGTGTTCACTGTCTTGATTATCACATCAACTTTTCCAGCATCTATACCAGCCTATTGCCAAGCGAACCGGAACGTAACATTCGCGTCCCCCGAGTCGTGCTCCCTCTTCTACAACTGCAGCAACATCGACGCCCGCCCCAACTCCACCCTGGAGGAGTATCAAGACGAGTGCCCCTACCTGTTCCTATTCGACCCCGTGGCTCGGATGTGCAAGTTCTACCCTGGCGTCATGTGCGGTCTGCGGCCCGAACCCAAGGCTCCATGTGAGTAGCGTTGTCATAGTCAGTCATGTGACTCACGTTGTCATAGTCATAGTCATGTGACTCACGTTGTCATAGTCATAGTCATGTGACTCACGTTGTCATAGTCATAGTCATGTGACTCACGTTGTCATAGTCATAGTCATGTGACTCACGTTGTCATAGTCATAGTCATGTGACTCACGTTGTCATAGTCATAGTCATGTGACTCACGTTGTCATAGTCATAGTCATGTGACTCACGTTGTCATAGTCATAGTCATGTGACTCACGTTGTCATAGTCATAGTCATGTGACTCACGTTGTCATAGTCATAGTCATGTGACTCACGTTGTCATAGACGTCACGCGAAACCGTTGGGGTGCAGGATGGCTGTGTATGTGAATGAATGAATGAATGAATGAATGAATTTCTTTATTTCCTCCTGAATCTACATCCGAAGATTTACGATATCCCTGATGCTACTCAGAGCAAACACATGATGTAAATATGTACATGAATGTAAATTTGAGTCCTAGTAACACAAGCTGTATAAGTAAATGTTTGATATCCCATATGTTTACAAATGACAGCTATTGATGCACAGCAGATGAAAAGAGAGGATGGTCTAATACATTTTCCAGATGAAGTGCATATTTACAGAATAACAATAATACACTTTCCCAAGTGGTCTGGCTAACAGTACCAGGTAGTGTTTGAGCCGAACCCCAAAATAGTGCAAGCTTCATTTTCATCCAAAAGTTCAATTTGAACTTTCAACATCCAGTTTGTCAGTGAGGGTTGTGTGGCGTTGTTTTGCTGCGACGTGCGAACCAAATGCCCTCAGGTACATTTCATGGGCTTCGGTGCCCTACACGCAGAGCACATTTCATGTGCTGTCTTCTCAAACAAATGACTTTCGAAATACCACTCTCTTCACCCAGTAGTAAATGGGTACCCGGTAGAATGACCCGTGTCGTTACAGCTAACTTTCTTTCTGCGAGAGCAATCTGATCCACTGGTACTGATGATATTTGAGTATATTAGGATGGCATCTTTCTATGGATATATAACTAACTCTGGAATTACCTTCAGCTATGGGTACACTGTTTTTCATGCTGTATCGGTCGCGATGTGGATTTACAGGCAATTTAAGTACACAGTCAAAGTCAAAATTGATATAAAATATACACGTCATCGGAGCATGATACACTGAAATACATGTACAAACGCCATCCAATGGGCTATTAAAGACAGCAAAATCATGTTTATTTCTCCGTAAATGTTTTTAGATTTGTACATAATGGAGTTGTTACGCCTAGAGAAGAAACAAGTTTAAAAATACAGTATCTAAAAACATAAATATAAATGCATATTAGGGGAAAAAACCATTATGAATGACAGAACAGTTTTCTCAGGATGACTTTTTAAAGCAAATTGTATCTGATGAAGGGACTAGTGTGATATTGGCAAGGCAAAAGTGTCATTTTGCTCCTGGAGTAAATATACTTTTACTTTACCTCCGGAGCAGGTGTAAATTTACTCCAGGAGTATAAATACTTACGTGAGTAAATTCGTTTTGTGACGTTTACATGGTCAATTTACTTACCATAAGAAACTTTACTTACATAAGCCAATGTACTCCTGTTTGTAAATGTGTGCATGTGAAACCAGCTTTATTTTCAAATTACTGGCAGTGCAATCATGGAATATGTTCTGGAGTTTACTAAGGCGGGTATCATTATAAGACAGACTTTAAGTAGAAAATGGTTTTCATCTTCAGAACCATCACTACAAAAATGACAAAAAAAAGAGTTATATTCGTAAAATCATGGCACCCGTGAAGATCCGGGTTAGAATTGATCTTCAGTAACCCATGCTTGTCGTAATAGGCGACTAACGGGATCGGGTGGTCAGGTTCGCTGACTTGGTTGACACATGTCATCGGTTCCCAATTGCGCAGATCGATGCTCTGGTCCAGACTCGATTATTTACAAACCGGCGCCATGTAGCTGGAATATTGCTGAGTGCGGCGTAAAACTAAACTCACTCACTCACTCACCCATTGTAATCTCGTTCCAGGCGACTATATCATTGGCCACTGTATTGGACGAGAGAAGTGCATCCCCTGTGAAGCAAGCTGTATGGGTCTTAATGACGGCCCCAACATCTACCCGGGCAAAGCCTTGACCTCCGAGTACCTGGACTGTGATAAGGAGCGCACTCGCAACATGAAGGTCTGTCTGGGCGGGAAGATATTTGACCCAATGACAGAAGATTGTGGATCTGAAATTAGCACAGGTATGTCTGTAAGCCGTACATCAAAATGTGCAGAGATGTATTGGTATGAATTATTCATTAAACTAGGTTTCTATCATATTACGCATTAACTGCCAATGTATGTCGTCAAGTCATCTAGGTAAAACACACTGTATGTTTAGGAAGTAAGTGAGAGAGTTGATATTTAACGTCGTATCGGTATTGTTTCAGCCATAGAGCGAAGGAAGTCACTCCAGTATTTCAGCCATTTTGCGAGTGTGCTTTGAGTCATTAAGATGAACGAACCGGATTTAAATTATTCGGCCACATCACAACTTGCATTCACAACTTGCCAATGACCATGGCTCAACTTGTCTACCCGGTGCCACACATAGCAGTACTGGTCTTATAACATTTAAAGGCAGTTTATAAACATATTAAAGCCCCTTGCATGTCTGTAACTGAATTATCCGTGAAGATCCGGGTTAGAATTGATCTTCAGTAACACATGCTTGTCGTAAGAGGCGACTTAAGGGATTGAGTGATCTTGGTTGATACAAGCCATCGTATCCCAGTTGCGTAGATCGATGCTCATGATGACAATCACTGGATTGTCTGGTCCAGACTCGATTATTTACAGACTGCTGTTATGTAGCTGGAATATTGCTAAATATGACGTTAAAGACACTGACTCTCAACACGTACGTAGGACAATTAACAGTCCGCTTGTCTTCTCATGTAAACAATGCTGTGTACTGCGTTAAAACAATAAACAAACAAACAAACAAACAAAGCTATAACTGAATAATTCTACATTCCAGCGACCCTGGAGCTGTTCTGTGCCAAGAACCCCACCATGATAATTCCCCATCCTGGTGAATGCACTCAGTTCTACGACTGCCAGAAAGTGATGGCTTCAGGGAACCTCAACAAGTTTGTTCGCGAGTGTCTGTTCCCCCAGGTGTTCGACCCCAGAGACAACACCTGCAAGGACAGACAGATGGTGTCGTGTGACTACAGGCGGCTACCGACCTCAATGTGTACGTAGATCTCAGTGTAACAGGGGCGGTGGGGTAGCCTAGTGAATAAAGCGTTCGCTCGTCAGGCTGAAGACCGGGTTCGATTCCCCACATGGGTACAATGTGTGAAGCCCATTTTTGGTGTCCCCCGCCGTGATATTGCTGGAATATTGATAAACGCGGCGTAAAACCAAACTCACTCACTCTCAGTGTGCCAGGTGTAGGAGATGCCGACGGTAGCTGACCCGGGATCCTGGGCTGGAATGCCATAGTTAGGGCTGGATTCTACAGCCGAACAGTTAAAGGCGGACACTGCTGCACAGACGCATGATATTACCCAGTCTGTCACACAGTCCCTGAACCGAATTATATTCTCTTCCGCCCAGCCCTTTCTGCAATGCTAAAGCCCCAAATATAGCAAGTCCTCATTTACTCAGATTCAGGTGCTTAATTTCCCTCCTCACTGGGGCTCCTTTTCAAATTAAAGGAATTGATTGTTTTTCCCAAAATTATATATATTCAGACACTAAGCGTTGTGTTAGTCAATGTACACGTGTTGCTCACTTCCACAGTCTTCCATGCAGACCCTGAAACAAATATATCCAAGAAAACCTATGCAAATCTAGATTATGTGGCAAGTCTAGATTTCCACGGTTTCTGAAAATGAAGAAAGTCTCTGGTCTCCTTTTCATTATATTTTATGATTATAATTTAGGAACTGTTCTCTTCTGTAAAACATGCTCATTTCTGAGACGATGTTAGTCTACTTACTTCCAGAGCTTGCTGGAATATATTATGGACTAGTACGATCAAACATTTCTTCCCCTTCCACAACCTTGTTTCCCTGCGTTAGTTTGCTGTGTCTGTGTGGAGAATGTAAAAACTGTATCAACAAACACACGCACACACATACATACACAAATACACATGCAAACATATGGATTTTCACCTTACGTCATCTCTTACCCAAGCAGGGGCGGTGGGGTAGCCTAAAGGTCAAAGCGTCAGCTCTGAGGACCCGGGTTCGATCAGTACAATGTATGGAGCCCATTCCTATGTCCACCACCACGATATTGCTGGAATATTGCTAAAAGCGGCGTAACACCATACTCACTCACTGTTACCCATTCCATGTATATTCCAGGCGGGTACCTCCAACATCAGTGTGTGGGACAGAAGTGCTCCCCCTGTGTCGACACGCTACCCTCATGTACAGGCAAGAGTAACGGCTACTGGCCCTTGGTAGGCGAGGAGATGACGGCCTTCTTCCTGGTGTGTACTGGAGGGCTGTTCACCTCCATAGGACAATGTCCTAACGGGGAGGTGTTCGATCAGTTGACCAGGACCTGTACTCCTACTGTAACCACGGGTGAGTACTCACGACATGTCCCTAAATGTCCCTAAATAGTCTAAAATCCGGCCTCTCACAGCAGGGTGAAGGTCATTCGTGACCAGCTCGTGTTATTCCGGGACAAGCCGAATAGCGACTCGTGCCCCTCTGGAAGGATTTCGTATTGGCGCATGGATATCGGAACTACTCTATCAAGAACGATAACTCTATCCCTGTTTGATTCCAATGTTTCTTAATTATCACCGAAGCACATGTACATTGTATTGCTAGGTTGTTGTTTTGGGGGGTTGTTTACTTATTTATTTTAAAGAATTAACCTCTTTGATCCATCTAAAAGAAGGAGAAAAACATATTTGTTAAAGACATATTCTCATGTAATTATTACCAGCTGTTAACCTTATATTTCCAATTAGGGTTTACTAATCACAACTGGGAATTGTTTTATTGAATATGCCAATAAAAGTTTTACAATTTCAGCTACATTAAATCCCAAAGCACATACTCAAGAATGACGTTAATATATTTCTCAAACTGAACGTTCGTGTAATCTTGCTGTCATACCCCTGGTTTTTTTTAAAATCAATTCGCTGAGAAAAATATGAATGACCAAAAAAGTAGTCAGACTAATATATCCCCAGAGATGTGAAATATAAGCCCAATGTTTGATGATTAAAGTTGATTAGTTACATACAAATATAATATTATTGTTTTGAAACACGTAGCGATTTATAATTACATTTCCTAAAATTGTTGGAAGCGCACGTACAATCTCCATAACAAGCCCGCAAGATCACCAGAAATACACTCAGTTGGACCCATGAGAGCCGTTATGTCAACAAACGCACGTGCGCGTTTTTGGATCTCTCACCGTCAATCGCATGATTCTTATTGAAAACTTCATAAAAGGCAGCAAAATCCTTTTAGCTACGTTCTTTGTACTTTCAATATGACGATCATAGGCGGATTCAGAGGAGGGGTGCAGGGGTGCGCACCCCCCCTTTTGTCCTGAAAGTTTATTAAATGACCATTGGAACTCGGTAGAAAATGAAGTGTGCACCCTCCCTTTTCTCAATAGTGTGCACCCCCCCTTTTTCAAAAAGCTGTATCCGCCCCTGGACGATATATATTGTTCATGATTTTTTAAACCATGACATAATGCCATAAACGATTTAAGTACTCGGGATTATTTTTATCAAAGCACCGCGGTCATTTACCCGCGTTTTGATGGGTTTGTCGTATTTTCGCACATAACAAGCATCGAGAGGGGGACGAGTCTTCTTGGAGGTTACGGAAAGGGGCGAGTGGTGACGAATGGGGCAAGGTGTCAACGCTGCGCCATGATCAGAGATATATGTTGAAAAGCAGTCTTTGTTCTACAAACACACAAAAAGAAAAGAAAATGTATGCCAGATATAAACCCTGGATTTCAAACACCTTGAAAAAACACATATAGTTATTTGTGAACATTCCATGCACACTAAACGCCGAAAGAAACGTTACCCTCCTTCCTGAATGAGGGAGGTACCTATCTTTAGATGACGTTGTGATGCGTGTCTGAAGCCCTGAAGAAGTCTTTTAACGTGATACGGTGGTATCCGTGGGCGTTGGCAACAGCATTGTATGTCGACCCCATCTGCACCATTACAATGGCTCTCTTTCTCTCTCTTCAGCTGTTAATCGTGGCATATTTCTCGTACTTGTGTATCATATCATGTATTCTTGGCTCTCTTTATACTCTTTAGAATCATTCTACATGTGAAATGGATGCAAAGACTGCTTGAATATTGCTGCGTTTTGGCGATTGATATTGCTATGTGTAAACAGAAAATGGAAAAATGTTACTTTGCAAGCAAAAATGTTAACAAATATAATTTCATATGTTCCTAAACGGGTTTTCACAATATCAAAGACACGTTTTACTTGTTTTCACTGATGCATCTCAGCAGAAAATGTTTTAAAAGACTAAAATCATAGGAATGATTATTTTACAATTTTAGACACACCACAACAGTTGTGTCATGTTTTAATTGTTGAAAAATGGTGACTTTAAATGGTTTACCAAAGCAGAATTTTATTTCAACCTCTCTTTTGGACATCTAAATCACTCTTATTGGTTTATTTCGGCATGGACGAAAATAGGACAATTTTACTTTTCTGAGAAAGATGCATGTCACCTATTTATGAATGCATTTGAGAATACTTTTTTTCGTGATTTGCATAAAGCTGGGTTATTTAGTTTTCTTGTAATCTAATACCTTCTAACATATCTTTGTTAGTTTTTAAGTAATTCATAAAGGTAGGACGGTAACGTTTCTTTTGGCGTTTAGTGTATACATAACCAATACATGGACTAATTTGACACTGCAATGTTTTAGCCGCTTTGAGGGCGTTCTGCTCCGCGCACCCTGATTCCGCTGTGGCCAACCCCCAACACTGCGGCCAGTTCTACAAGTGTACCCCCGCCGGCGGCCCCCCGACCGCCTTCTCCGAGTGTGTGTACCCCCAGGAGTTTTCCATCAGCGGGAAGGAGTGTCGGCCATATACGAACGTGGACTGTGCTGAGAGGGTGGAGAAAGTCCAGGGATGTGAGTACAGAGAGAGAGAAGTACATGTGTTCTCGATGGATGGAAGGATGGATGGATGGACGAATAGATGGATGGAAAGTAACGAATGAATGGGTGGATGAATGAATGAATAATTGATAGATGAATGCCGGGCGAATGAATGGGTGGATGAATGAATGGATAGATGAACGCCGGACGAATGAATGGGTGGGTGAATGAATGAACGAATGAATGGATAGATGAACGCCAGATGGATGATTGGGTGGATGAATAAATGAATGGTTGAATGGCTGGATACTCAAAGGTGGTAAAACGATGAAGCAGAAGGTTATGAATGAAGTTACGTACGAACGCATTTCTAATTCACAACTCAGTGGCGATATATAGAACAAGACATGTGAAGAACCCAAATGAATTAATGAATTTACTCAAAGCCACTAGAACAATACCAAATGTGAAGAATACAGAACCAGCCAGTTTTCAGCTGAGTTTTCGAACATTGCTAGTTCCTGTCTGATGTTTGTATGACGTTACACTTCCAGATGGTGGTGAGGCTGAATGAGTCAGCTGCTGTGATTGGTGGCTATCCATGCTATCCTTTACCACCTACCCGCATGGTAGGCATCATAGCAGTGCTGATGCTCACTCTGGTGTCTGCACACTATGACGTTTGTCGATGATATATTGTTGCAATCAAGAAGTCAAGAAGGCATTATTACGATATGAGAATATATTTTCTTAACATTCAATGTCGCTGTTGCCGTGAATGTCCTTGACCTTCACTGGGTGGGACTATTAAGATGGCGTTTATTCATACGTTGTCTCCCTCGTATGACATAATGCTCTTCAGTTCATCGTTATTTGGCCCCTGTCCACCAGATCCTGTGAGGTAGCCAAATGGATAAATGCTGTTCCATTCTCCACATGGGTTATGTGTGAAGTCCATTTCTGGGGTCCTCTTCCGTGATATTGCTAGAGTAATGCTAAAAGCGGCGTAAAACTATACTCACTCACTGACAAGTACAGCTTTCCATTAAGGTAGCAAACAACTTTGTTAAGTAAGTATCCTAAATTCATAATGTTTCCGTTGCCTAGGCGACTACACCGGGATCAACACCTGCAAAGTCGCAGACTTGTCTTGCACGTGCCGCTTCCCATCATGCTTTGGTCAGCGTGATGGCGTAATTTCCGTTTTCCCTGGCGACAACACCATGTACTACACATGTCGAGACAACCGCACCATTGTGACGACATGCACCGGGCCCAGCTTCTTTGACCCCGCAATCCTCGGATGTAGCGGCCTTACAACACCACCTGCAGCAGCGACTACAACGACGGCACCAAGAGTTACAACTACACCACGTGGCCCACCACCTCCAACATCTCCTCTTGATAATGGTAAGGTTCAATGAGTGATCGTGACGCCATGTTAGAACGTTAAGTCATATAGCATCTCATCCTACCTGGTACCCATTCACTGCTGAGTGACCACAGTTAGGCATGCTAGGAAGAAGGTCACTTGCCGAAGGTGATACCAACTGTTCTACATGTGCTTTAGCATGGAGCGTGACCGAAGCGCTAAACACTCCCAAGAGTCAAGATGACAAAAACACGGTCACTCTTGCAGTTTAACTTCGTCTTATTTGTAATTCGTGCGCTGTGCAAAGTGAAACTGACCAAGTATCGATAATGCTAGTTTTACTTTTATTGAAAAAAAACAGCTGTTGTCGTACAGGGTCTGCATACTTCAAAAAATTAGAGAACTTCATCAGATGTAATCAAGATAAGAAGAACACAATGTCATGGTCTTACACATCCTCTATATTTCCACGGCTAGCTTTCCGGTGAACCTTTACTGATCCTTCGATCCATTCCCGTGCTCCTTGCGATCTCAAATTACCTGCCCTTGATCAGAATGCGAGAATAATTCTCAAGGTTGGTTTGACAATCTCAACAACGTGTCGACCAAACCCTTGATTCTTCTCGAACGTTCGACAAATTCAATATTAAAATATGGTTGCAAGCAACGATGAGGTCTCCTTGGCTTTAGTTCTATCTATTGTATTTGGGGGCAAGAAATCATCATCCAAAACGGAGCCAGAACACGTTTTTGACAGGCGAGGGGATCTTCCAAATACAGCCGGGGTCGCGGGGGTCATGTAGCTTTTAAGAAGTTCTGGAGAAGAAATAGTTCCGTCTTTAAAAGGCTGTATCTCAGTTGTTCTTGGGTCTACGGTCAAAACAATTAGTGTTCTGGAATCACCAAGACTTCATTTACCATCTAGAATGATGATTGGCACAATGGTTACTGGCATCAGTTATGGAAAGTTTGGAATGTCAGAGCTGATGGTTCGAGCTCAGCACAGTCGGGAGCAAACTACTCAGAAAACTGCTCAAAAACATGGCCAAAAAACTGAAAACAAAAATAACTGCCAAACGGCACGTTTTAGCGACTTGACCCGTCCAGGCAAAATTGTTGGGAATTCGATTGTGCATCTGTACAAGAGATTTGGAAGTGTTGGAACAATTAGTTCTTGAGATATTTGCTGTCAAACTTTGAAATTTTGGAATTAATTTTGAATGATCTCCCCTTTGCTTTTTGGCCTAGAGCCTAGAGATTTTAAGGGGAATATCTACACCTCGGTGCGCAACTGCGTGATTTTTTTTAAGCGATTCGGACCATTGGTTAGGGGTTATGCTTGGTACATAAATCGGCGGAATAATAATAATAAATAATAATAATGATAATCCGAACGATTATAATAAGTCTCCTGCCTAGAGGCAAGGAGCCCTAAAAACTGACACAATCAAAAGAAAGCTCTCAACAATTTTTTTGTGTGGAAAAGGTGTCTTCATTTCCAAAATCTTTTATTTCTAGGTTACCTCCCTTACCCCCTCCCGTTCCCTTATGTCGATGTTTGATTGGCTGGTAAACTGTAAATTAATATCAAGGGCGGATAATCTGCGAACCACGTGGATCCATTGGTTAGTGTATTTTTACCGAAAATCGAGGCCCGGAGACATACAGGTTGCGTCTTGACATGACCAAACCCCCAGGACATATAGCACATCCGGGTTGTGTAAAGGGAGAGTTCTATGGCGTGTGACCCAGCCATTCCTCGTGGTTAGACAGAGTCAGAATTGATCTATGTTGGTAAGAATTAAAGGACAAAGTGACCAGGTCGCTGACCAAATATGTGGATGTTTATGGTGTCAAATCCTGTATGTTCTGATCCAGTCAAGTGTCCCCACACACACACACACACACACACACACACACACACACACTCCGGCACAGCGATGAGTTAACATAACATCACTGCCACAGGCTAATTTGCATATCACGTGACCGGACTTTTCTCTTGTTTGTAATCAAACGCGCATATTCATAATAAGAAGAGACTGGACTCACGAAAGCTTTCCGGCGCTCTCTTCATAATGTTTTACATTGTTACATATATATTCTTCCACAACTGCGACAGTTAGGTCTATGACAGTACATATTTAGATATCCAACTGGCTGCATCGTTTGCTCTCCGTCGGCTTCGATGACAGCACGTGGAGCCGTACAACCTATGTAAACAAAGGATCGCTACGCAAATCGAAATAGTGTTACATGTTTTGGATATTTTCTCAGTGAAACTAATTCTTTCTATTAAAGATGTTTAGTTAGATGTGTAGCCTCATCAAAAATAAAATTAAAAAAATCTATACATTATATTGAATGGACGGTGTAAGATGTGACGAATCGTCACATTTTTCTGGCCTGTGGCAGAGGTACTATGCTGGTTTGTCGCATGGAACTCTGGGTAGGAGAGTGGCGTCCCCCTAGTCAGTCACAAGACTCTGAAACAAACACATCCAAGAAAGCCCATGCAAGTCTAGATTTCCACAGTTTCTGAAAATGGAGAAAGTCTCTAGTCTAGCGGCCCCCGTCCGGCATATAGCCGTTTACACAATAAACAAAATAAACAAAATCTGTCAATTATGTCCTGGTCCAGCCTCGCTTCCCACATTAAAAAATAAACAATTTTGTTCGCTTCTAGTGGACACTCTGGCGAAGGCCCAGGCGGTGTGCCGGCTGTACCCTACTGCCATCATCCCTCACTCCAGGAACTGCCACTGGTTCTACAACTGCTCCAAGCTGGAGGGCGAGTCCGAGTGCATCTACCCCTTCCTGTTCGACATCACCAGTGAGATGTGTGTCGAGTACAGCCTGGCCGACTGTGGGTTGAGGAAGGAGCCCAAACAGATGTGTGAGTGTCTCAGGCAATGTCAGTGTCTTTACAGATGGTTTTCCGCCTCGGAAGTTGCTCTGTGCTATGTCTTTTTTGTTTAATGATGTCCTTTGCTGTTGAAGTTAGTTCAGCGTCTACTCCTCATCATTACCCCTCCTCTTCATCCTCACATCATGGGCGTTCGCATCATCATTGTCGTCGTCATCATCATAATCATCATCATCATCATCACAGTCGTCGTCGCCACCACCACCATCATCACCATCATCGTCGTCATATTCATCGATGCAGTCTCCGTCGTCATGGTCGATGCCATCATTGTCGTTGTCACCATCATCATCATCATCATCATCATCATCATCACCATCAACATCAACATTATCATCACCATCATCATCATGCAACGTTCTGTACATGTTATGCTAACATATGATTTCTGTTTCCAGTATATTTCACCATGTAAATAGTTATAGCCTTTCACATGTTCACAAAGCTGTGCACATGTCACATTTACAACTATTTCACCATTGAATCTCCTCCCAGGTGAGTATGAGCAGTTCCTGAGCAAGTTCCCCACATGCGCCAACTCCATCATCTGCAGCGACTGTGAGCGGTACTACCCGTCCTGTGCGGGTCGCCAGAACAACTACCAGAGCGGCATCAGCACAGACAGAACCAAGTTCTACGAGTGTCGAGACCAGAGGACGTCCATCTACACGTGTCCGCCCGGTCAGGAATATGACGGCACCATGTGCACAGCCACGCCTGCGCCGACTGTAGGAGGTACGCAATCAGTGTAGGCTTGTGAGTTGGTAAACGAGTGAGTGAGCGAGTCAGTTTAGTTTTATGCCGCACTCAGCAATATTCCAGCTATATGGCGGCGGTCTGCAAATAATCTGGACCAGACAATCCAGTAAACAAATGCATGAGCATCGATCTACTCAATTGGGATACGATGACATGTGTCAACCAAGTCAGCGAGTCTGATCACCCGATTCCGTTAGTTGCCTCTTATGACAAGCATGGCTTACTGAAGACCAATTCTAACCCAGACCTTCACGGGTATGTGTACCCGTTATGTCGTATACTCATGCATAAATAGTAGATTGCACGATATTAGCGGTAATACGCTTTTAAAACAATACATATGCAGTATATTTTCAAAGAACCGGTATATTGACGTGGCGATGTGTGGTGAGGTGAGGTATTGTGTGGTGTGGTGAGGTGAGGTAGTGTGTGGTGTGGTGAGGTGAGGTATTGTGTGGTGTGGTGAGGTGAGGTAGGGTGTGGTGAGGTATTGTGAGGTAGGGCGTGGTGAGGTGAGGTATTGTGTGGTGTGGTGAGGTGAGGTAGGGCGTGGTGAGGTGAGGTATTGTGTGGTGTGGTGAGGTGAGGTAGGGTGTGGTGAGGTGTTGTGTGGTGTGGTGGGAGGTGAGGTAGGGTGTGGTGAGGTGTGGTGTTGTGTGGTGAGGTGAGGTGTGGTGTGGGTGAGGTGAGGTAGGGTCGTGGTGAGGTGAGGTATTGTGTGGTGTGGTGAGGTGAGGTAGGGTGTGGTGAGGCGTTGTGTGACGGACCATGTGCCCCGCCTCTGTGAGAACTGCTTGGAGACATTTTCAGACAGGTACTTGCCGATGAGTGTATGAACTGTCTGTTTGATTGAAACATACTTTATTCAATTAAGAAACGGATTGGGCACAAGTTATCCAACTTAAATAAGCCCTCTCCACATAGTTACAAGTGTATATTACAAAAAAGTTCAACAAGAGGCAGACAAAGGGTATAGGTATGTACAGACAGAGTTATTTAAATCGTTTAGTGTTATGGATGTAGATATGTACAGATTTAAAAACTCTCTGTGTTACAGCCTCCAATGATGCCGAGGCCAAGGCTCTGTGCGCCCTGGACCCGTCTCGCCCGATCCCCCACAACGGCCACTGCGCCAAGTACTTCGAGTGTAAGCCAGTCGGGATGGTGATTGAACGTGAGTGTGTCTACCCGCAGCTGTTTGACGCAGTGACCAGGAGGTGTGTCACCACCACACAGTGTGGCGCCAGGACGGAGTTCAAGACACCATGTACGTTCAGGTCCAGACTTCAGTCATACAGCTAAAGCACAATTTTACCCTACCAAGTATACGTGCACTTTAGGGAATGCCCTGCATATATACTACCCATTAAATGTTTAGACTCACTAGTATAAATGTAGCCACTTACTTCAGTCAACTGTTCTAAACTACATTTTGCAAAATATTCAATACTGTTTAAAGGTACTGTTTACACATGAACTGATGTATTGTAAAACAAATTCGTAATGTTGAAAAGATTATTATCATGAGTTCGATAAATGATGAAACCCAGTGAAAATTGGCGAATTCTTAACAAAACTTTACACCAAAACGCAGCTGTTCACATGCATAATATTTGCATATGCTTTTCGGCAATTTGATGCAATTTGATGCAATTCATCTGCATAAAGTTTGCAGTTGGTTCCCCTAAGTTAGTGGAGAAATTCATCTTCGATGTAACCATATATATATATATATATATATATATATATATACATAACAAAGAGTAAGTGTTTTAAGTGAGCCTAAACTTTTGATGGGTAGTATATGTTCGCCACGAATAGTTGCACAATTGCTGATGCTGCGTTAAAGCAATATTCACTCACTCACTCTATACGTTGGGCGTATGTATAAAATATCTAACCCATTGAATTTCTCGTTTTCCTGTCACCTAGTTGTCATTGGAGATGGCTTTATGAGTGAGTGGGTTTAGTTTTACGCCGCACTCAGCAATATTCCAGCTTTATGGCGGCGGGCTGTAAATAATCGAGTCTGGACTAGACAATCCAGTGATCAAAAGCATGAGCATCGATCTGGGCAATTGGGAACTGATGACATGTGTCAACCAAGTCAGCACGCCTGACCACCTGATCCCGTTAGTCGCCTCTTACTACAAGCATGGGTTACTGAAGGTTCATTCTAACCCGCACCTTCACGTGTCAGATGGTGTTATGGATATGTACACCTTCACGTTGATGGTTGCTCATGACGTCAATCACTGAACTAGCTTGATAACATATTTACAAATGTTTCATATTGTTGAATGAAAGAAACTGCCACACATGTATATTTATTGCATTTAGGTTTATATTATTAATTATTATATATCTGTTTTTGCAGTTGTAGTTACCAAAGAACTCTCTGACAAAATCTGAGCTCTTTGATAAAAAACCCTAACATTTTAAACTTCTGTGGAGGTGACTATCTGTTGAAGTGATGACAAACTGAATGATTAAGATGGTGTATGTAAAAATGATGACGATTGTATAGATGGTGATAATACAGACGCTTATAACGATAATGACTTGCACCGATATATTCACTTACTGAGTTAAAAACTGACCGAAAACATATCTGTATATGGATGAGTGACTTGAATACGCGAGTGAATAAGGTGTCACACAACTATAGCAATGTTCCAGACATACCATGGCAGGGTACACCACACACTGTACCCAATGGAGCTGAGCGCTGGTAACTAAATATCTGTACCCAATTTATATTATGTACGAAGGCAATGGCAATGATGATGATGATGATGATGATGATGTGACCCTGCCCAGGTTCCTACGACTCTGTGCTGCGTAGATACAACCGGGTATGCAACAAGGGCCAGCCCTGCCCCGAGTGTGCGGCCGACTACCCGTCCTGTGAGGGGCGTCCAGACAACTTCAAGGGGCCCATCCAGACAGACGAAGTCATGTTCTACATGTGTAACAACGAGCGCACCACCATCGACACTTGCACCGTCATCGGCTCCATCTTCATGCCTTCTAAGCAGCAGTGTATGATTCCACCCACAGATCCCCTACTGACATGTAAGTTCTGGATGACCGTCTGCAGAACGAATGATCACAGGATTACTGGGCCTTAGACTAACATTTACACTATGAAAATGTAATTATAATTTTGTTTTGAAACAAACAACAATTGAAACAGAGGACCAGAGACCTCGGAGATTGAGAACCTGAGGAAATCTAGATATTGGGCATTTTCATTGCAGAGAGGGTTGGGCGGAGGGAAAAGTAATGCAGTTCATTGACCATGACACAGACTAACAGGGTATCTGCTCTGCCTAACGCATGGAAGAGAGACCACATATATATTAGTCAGAATCACTACATCCTCTTACCAGTGACAACACATGCTCGTGGTGATTTATGATATCAATAATCAATAAACATGTACGAATATTGATGGGTCTAATAAGTCCCCCCTATTATCGTTCTGGTTCGGATGTCGTGTCAGAGTGTAATGTAGTTTTGGGATAGTACTATACGTTGCAGACATCAGTGTATTCACTTTTCTACGTTCATGCCCAGAACACCTCCAGTTCCCGACGTGCAGAAGAGCTGTCTTCGCTTTGCGACGTTAAACAATACCGTCCTTCCTGGTACAACACATTCCCTCTCAGACAGATTAGATATACTTAGTAATACCTAATGCATAACTATATGGTTACAGTGTGATCGCAACTTTGTACGGATTTTGAGTGTGTACTTTCAAGGGAGACTTTCAAGGGAAGGGAATGCAATATGAATGCACACTGATCCTTTGTTTGGGAAAAGGTTGTATTATTGTTGATAACTCCTCTTCTTGCTCCTCCTCCCCATTTCTTCTACCTTGTCCTCTTCCTCCTCGTCTTCGTCTTTCTCCGCTTCATGCTCCTCTTCGTCTTCCTCCTCTTCTTCGTCTTCCTTATATTCTCCTTCATCTTCCTCTCCTCTTCTTCGTCTTCCTTATACTCTCCTTCATCTTCCTATCATCCTCTTCGTCTTCCTTATACTCTCCTTCATCTTCCTATCATCCTCTTCGTCTTCCTTATACTCTCCTTCATCTTCCTTTCCTCCTCTTCATCTTCCTCCTATTTTTCGTTTTCCTCCTCTTCTTCTTCGTTACTTGCCCCTGTTCTCCTTCTCCCTCCTCTTCGTCTTCATTTGCAAATCATATTATTATCAATATCATTCGTTTTCAGTGGACCCTTCACGTGTAATAGTTGAGTGCACCCAGCAGCCCACAGGGGTGTTTCTCATGGGGAACTCCTGTGCTCGCTACTACAACTGTTCGCTGCCAAACAGCAGACTTGGAGCGTTCGTATCGGAATGTGACTACCCCATGCTGTTTGACTCTTTCCTGGGTCGATGCGTGGAGTATATCATGGCCAAATGCTCCCCCAGGCCTGTTGAGAAGGAACCTTGTAAGTACAGCCGTGTTTAACTGACCTATAAACTAACGCTTAGTCTCTGAATATATAAACTTTCCATAGTAACAAATAATCCCATTTAATTTGAAAAGTGCCAGTGAGATGGGAGATTCAGATCCTGGCTTCAATTGGGCCTTGAGCATTGTTGGAGGGCTAGGCAGTAAGGGGAATAATATGGTTCGGGGACTGTGAGACAGACTAGCTGAACCACTACAGGTTGCGTTTGTTTAGGTGGTAAAATTGCCCTTTCAATTTGAATGTATCATACACACATCTCACAGTACAAGGAGTTAACCTGTACACACGATCACCTATCGTCGAATTAGGGTTTTCGGACATCGCGCAATTGTGAGGTGTGTTGTACGAACCGGAGATTATACATACCCGGATGGTGACTTGTTGTCTGTAGTAGGATAGTGAGATGGTTTACCGTTGTTCATTTGTTAAGCGAGAAAACAGCAAATGTGTTAAAGCGTCAAGATTTTATGATTTTAGGAGGGCGAAATATAGCGGTTCATATTTTTCATACGATGCCCTAGGCAAAATATCACTTTGTCATGGTGACGTGACGTCATGAACAATGCTATGACGTCAATTTCCTTCTATGACGTTGCGTTCTACACGCGGCGACGGCGGGTATTTGAAAGTTGATTTGGGTTATAATCAACGGTAATAAATAGAATATTATATTCGTGCCCATATCATGCTATGTTTACGACACTCGTGCCTAAATATCGGTATATCCTCGCTCTCGCTCGGGAAATACCAACATTTAGGCACTCGTGTCGTAAACATAGTATGACATGGGCACTCATATAATATACTCTATTAAGCACGAAAACTAAAGCACAGAAAACCCTGCACGTATAAGTTAACATACACCAGATAGAACCATGTACATACATACGTAAAACTTCGGATCTTAGAACCTACAACAAGGTAACCCACCTCAATTTCTGTACCAGGCGAGTTTCTGAGCATCCGACGTCAGTACTGCACCACCGACGGACCATGCCGTGCCTGTGACGTCGCAAACCCCCTCCTGCAAAGACAAGCCCGACAACTTCGTCGCTGCACTCCAGATCAATAACTACTCTTTCTATACGTGTCTACACTCTCGGACAGTGGCTGGCACCTGTAAAGTGGGCCAGGTGTTCAACCCTACCACGTTGGTGTGTGAGGCACAGCCTACAACCACAACACCACCAACTACCACCCCAACTACGACTACGACTACAACCACAACAACTACTACCATGCCAACGACCACGGTCACGACTACCTCTGCTCCCCGCTTCCGAACAGGTACGATATGTAATGACGTGTATAAAACTTGAAAAACTGGTATCCTCTTGAAAGGTTTTCCACGGGACATTAAAGGAGTGAGTGAGTGAGTTTAGTTTTTACGCCGCACTCAGCAATATTCCAGCTATATGGCGGCGGTCTGTAAATAATCGAGTCTTGACCAGACAATCCAGTGATCAACAGCATGAGCATCGCTCTGCGCAATTGGGATACGATGACATGTGTCAACCAAGTCAGCGAGCCTGACCACCCGATCCCGTTAGTCGCCTCTTACGACAAGCATGGGTTACTGAAGGTTCATTCTAACCCGGACCTTCACGGGTACATTAAAGGAGACATTTTCCATTGTAATTCCACTCACTGACTTAATTGACACATGTCATTGTATCCTGTTGATCACTGGATTGTCTGGTCCAGACTCGATTATTTACAGACCGCCGCCACATAGATGGCATACTGTTGAGTGTGGCGTTCAACAACAAACAAACAAAACAAACAAACGATTGTACTTCTATTTTTAGTTTCGAAGACTTCTTTGTATCCATTTGTTGCTCTTTGCAGTAAGTCTTTACATTACCAAATTGAGTTGTAACAGCTGTTACGACCGTTGGTGTTAATACTCAAGAGCTGATTTTGTTTCATGATTAACAAACTACCATACCATCTCCTTCAACTATAAACCCGTGAAGGTCCGGGTTTGAATTGATCTTTAGTAACCCATGCTCGTCGTAAGAGGTGACTAACGGGATCGGATGGTCAGCCTCTCCGACATAGTTGAAATATGTCATCGTATCCCAATTGCGTAGATCGATTCCTGTGCTGTTGATCACTGGATTGTCTGGAATATTGCTGAGTGCGGCGTTAAACAACCAACCAACCTTTACCTATACTGTATATTTGCAAATCGTGTCTTGCAGTGTCGGCCCAAGAGATCGGCACCTATTGCGCCTTCAACCCAACGAAAGTGGCCGCCCACCCCGACAGCTGTGCGATGTTCTGGAACTGTTCCCAGCCCAACCCCCAGTACGGGATGCAGTACCTGTTCGAGTGTACCTATCCCATGCACTTTGACAGCAACAGTGGCGCCTGTGTGGACTTCTCACTCGTGGACTGTGGAACCAGAAGGAGCGTCATGGCTCCATGTAAGTTGGAGATGATTCGGTTTTAGAGTAAAAGGTCCTGGGCCCATTTGGCGATTGTGTAGCCTAGTGCACGGTTAAAGTGTTCGCTCATCACGTCGAAGAACCGGGTTCGATTCCCCACATGGTTATGATGTGTTGATTCATTTATGATGTCCCCCACCAAGAATAGAGTGGCGTAAACCCATACTTACAACGGAGCCCGTGTACTAAACTGTGATAGTACTGCTTTGGTAAAGTATATCTAAATATAAGCGTCAAAACCCTTTCCACATCCATAAGAAATCTATGCTAAAGCAGAGTCGATTGTACAATTGTGACCTGATCATGAGTATATAGTTGTTTCTACCTTTTCGCAGAGCTATGATTGTTTTGTGGACCGGGGCCCAAGGTTGAGTCTATCTGTCTATCTGCGACGGATTCTCCATGTGTTACGCATCTAGAAAGAGTTACTGGTTTTTATTGTGTATTTTATACAGTATATCTTCTGGGTGTGCATCTACGCATACATACTCCCTTTCCACTTTGAATCAGGCTTGACATCTTGCCGAAACCTTCCCAAAGCATTTTCATTTGATGAACAAAGTACGTGTCTATGTGAAAGAAGCTGAATGTTTCTTGACTAATAATGTTGTGTCGAGGAATGATGGTGATCCTAATAACGTCCGTTGTTTCAGGCGAGTACATTGCATTTACTGTTATGTTGTGTAATGACTTGAAGTCATGTCGGGCATGTGACGAAACCCAGCTGTCATGCCGCGGCAAGGCGGACGGGTACAAGGACGCCATGTTGGAGGACCAGTCGAGCTACTTCCAGTGCCAGGACCAGAGGACCACAATCGTGTCCTGCCCGGGGACTCAGCAGTTCGACCCCATCACAGCTGACTGCAAGATTCCGGGGGCACCCACCATCCCTGTCAGTAAGTAGACTCCCACCCATCACAGCTGATTGCAAGATTCCGGGGGCACCCACCATCCCTGTCAGTAAGTAGACTCCCACCCATCACAGCTGACTGCAAGATTCCGGGGGTACCCACCATCCCTGTCAGTAAGTAGACTTCCACCCATCACAGCTGACTGCAAGATTCCGGGGGCACCTACCATCCCTGTCAGTAAGTAGACTTCCACCCACCCACCCACCCACCCATGACTTACGTGATGGCCAGGATCGCTGACTTGGTTGATACATATTATCGTATCCCATTGTGTAAATCGTGATGTCAGTCACTGGATTGTCTGGTCCAGACTCGAATATTTACAGACCGCGTCCATATAGCTGGAGAACTGCTGACTGCAGCGTTAGGAAACAAAAATATATTCTCTCACATGTCAGGACAGAGAATGTATCTCATGATGATTCAAATTGCTGTATTGAACGCAAAGGCTTGTTTTTCTGTCTGTGACTGAACACACTTCTTCCCCCTTGCAGTGACAACATCGGTGGAGGCGGAGGGTCCCTGCGGCACCAACCCGACAGCCATGTTTCCCCACGCCGAGAACTGTCACCAGTACTTCGACTGCGCCGTACAGAACGGACCGTTTGGCCGCTTCCTGAGCGAGTGTCCCTACCCCGATCTGTTTGACCCCACATCCGCTTCCTGCAAGGACCACTCCCTGGTAGCCTGTGGGCGACGATACGAGCCGCGACTCAGATGTATGTGGTCATTTAGCTATTGTAATTTCATTACCGTTGCTCTAATTGATATGGGATGCTTCACTCTGATATGATACCCTTCATAGTGAGTGAGTGAGTTTTGTTTTAAGCAACATTCAAGCAAAATGTGTTAACTAGTCCATGGGGTTAACGTGAGGTGAACTCTAATGAGCTTTTCAGTGTCCAAGATTCCGAACTTTCTGTACCTCAAAACTATTTGCAGAAAAATAATAAGTGTATAAACGTAAACGGGCTTTACAGAATGGACAATAAGAAAGGTCGCGCATATGTTATACTGTATATAGTGATACACAGAGTATATCATATGAGTGCCCATGTCATACTATGTTTACGACACGAGTGCCTAAATGTTGGTATTTCCCGAGCGAGAGCGAGAGATATACCGATATTTAGGCACGAGTGTCGTAAACATAGCATGCTATGGGCACGAATATAATATTCTGTGATTACTGGAGTCGTCAAATTGAGGAAAATAAACCCAAATCTACTTTCAAACATACGCTGACTACCCGCCGTCGCCGCATGTACAACGCAACGTCACAGAAGAAACGTGACGTCATAGCCTTGTTCATGACGTCACGTCACCATGACAAAGTGATATTTTGCCTTTGGGTATCGTATGAAAAATATTAACCCCGGTATGTTCGCCCTCGTAGGTATAATATAAAGGATGTCATTTAGGCATGATATCTGTTCCTAATTACGAAAGGTCGTACTATCAGTGAATTGTTAAGATCAAAACATCTAAATCGATCTGGTGAGGAACTGAAACCGAATCGTCTGAGAAATTACACATCTCAAAGCCAAATTACCATTTCTGCGCTTTCAAGTTCGTTTAGACTATTGAAGGTGAGGTGAGGTGATATGGGGTTTAACATCGTGCTTGAGAATATTTCGCTCATATGACGACGTGCATGCGTGTGTAAGTGTATGTGCGGCTGCTTGTACTAGCCCAGACTGAAGCTGGTTTTATAGTGCTAGCCCACTGAGATACCATGCCGCAGTGAAGCATGAAGACCCCACTCAGACACATTATACTGACTCCGAGCCGACCAGTCCTCGTTGTAGCCGTTAATGCCGAGCGCCGGGCAGGGACCAACAAGTACCATATTTTAACGTCTTTTGGTATGACGAGGTCGGGGATCGAACCCGCGACCTTCCGCTCTCCGGGCGGACGCTTTAACCACTACACCACGGAGGCGGTCTTAGGACTATTGAAATTCAAAAGACATCATTGCTGATGCAGTGTTGCATATATTGACGTCTGTTATTTACCTTGGTCGTTAAAAGACCTTTTGCTACAGATCATGTCAGAAAGCAGCCCTAGAATCGGTATGAAGTGTATCAATGAAACTGTTGTTCGGCCTCGGAAACTATAGTGATTTGAACGTACAGTAGTACCCCCTTTGTTATTATCCGGATTCACGAATTATGGTTTCGGAGTCATGTCCCTTTGTAAGCAGGAAGCTCTTCCCTTCCGATATTGTCCACTAGATTGGGGTTCCAGTTGGTCGGGGTAATAATGAGGTATAACTGTATACTACATATATTCTGTTACCTAGGCGAGTACTGGGCCATCCTTACCAAATACTGCAGAATTGTTGGTACCAACTGCGAGGAGTGCGCCAAAAGCAACCCATCGTGCGTGGCCCAGACGGACGGTCTTACTGGGCCAATTCCTGGGAGTCGAACACAGTACTACAACTGCTCTAAGGACCGAACACTCATCAGTGATTGTCCCGCTAACTACGAGTTCAACACCGCGACAAGACGCTGCCAGTCGCTCACGTACCGTAAGTTCCGGAATTCAAGTGCGATATTTTACAGAACCTTTTTTGTGTTAGTTTCTGTTGTGTTTATGGCCATCTTATGTTATGTTCTGAAACTATATTAATACTTTTCATTCCTGAAGTATGCAAACAAGGCCTCTTACACAAACATGTTCCTGGTGCAGTGTCCCCCGTCTCTTACACAAACTTGTTCCTGATCCAGTGCACTCTGTCGCTTACACAAACATGTTCCTGTTCCTGTGTCATCTGCCTCTAACACAAACATGTTCCTGTTCCTGTGTCATCTGCCTCTAACACAAACATGTTCCTGTTCCTGTGTCCTCTGCCTCTTACTCTTACTCAAACATGTTCCTGATCCAGTGTCCTCTGTCTCTTACTCAAACATGTTCCTGATCCTGTGTCATCTGTCTCTTACACAAACATGTTTCTGTTCCTGTGTCATCTGTCTCTTACTCAAACATGTTTCTGTTCCTGTGTACTCTGCCTCTAACACAAACATCCTTCTTTCTCTTACTCAAACATGTTCCTGGTCCAGTGTCCCCGTCTCTTACTCAAACATGTTCCTGATCCAGTGCACTCTGTCTCTTGCACATACATGTTCTGTTCTGATCTGCAACACAAACATGTTCCTGTTCCTGTGTCCTGCCTCTTACACAAACATGTTCCTGATCCAGTGTCACTCTGTCTCTTGCACATAAACATGTTCCTGATCCAGTGTCCTCTGTCTTACACAAACATGTTCCTTCCTGTTCCTGTGCCTCTTTCTCTTACTCAAACATCTGCCTCTTACACAAACATGTTCCTGAACCAGTGTCCTCTCACACAAACATGTTTCTGTTCCAGTGTCTTCATCAGCACAGGCGGAAACCTACTGTATCTCCAACCCTACTGGCATGTTCCCGAGCTCCCTAAGCTGTGCCCAGTATTTCGACTGTTCCCAGCCTGGCAGCAGGTTCGGCCGCTACAGAGTGGAGTGTCCTTACCCCGAGCTGTTTGACGTGGAGTCCAGAGCATGTAAAGACCACACACTAGTCACCTGTGGTGGCAGTCCAATGGTCAAAGACGCCTGTAAGTAGTGACACAAATGAGTTAATATTATTTTACTTGAATTTTACTTTAATATATTTTATTCAATCAGCAATGTTCACGTTAGCCTGTAACTGACGTAGGCTTGGTCCAACAAACCAGTGATTGATGGCATGAACCCCATATATGTCAATTCTTTGTATACTAAAAAGCGTTTTTAATACACTATACAACCATGCTTTCTTACTAAACTGACGTTCAAAAGATAGTACACCGTCGGCTGATTCTTTGGTAAAAAATTTCTTTAAAACAGCATTAATATTTTAAAAAGTGTTTTGATTCTGCTTGTCACAAACATTGTGCAAGTGTTTCCAAAACACCAGATATTGTACCCAATTACAACATTGCTAACGAAATATTTATGGTTTTAATGGAAATAGGCCCAAAACACCAGATGTGTACTTTCTTATGAACGTCAGTATAGTTCTTACGATTATTAAATGCTGTCACGTATTGATTCCTTTCGTAATGAAAAATAAACTACAATGTATACAAGAATATGTTCGTGGAATTTGATGGACAGTTCGTGTAAAGATGTGACTAATCCCGACAAGAGGTGACCAAATGATCATCTCGGTTGCTTGGTGGATTGCAAGTATCCTACCACGATGTGGATTCGTTGCTCACGATATCGACCACTGGTTTGCCTGGTCATCATTCGAATATTAATATAACCCGTGAAGATTCGGTTTAGAATTGATCTTCAGTTGCCCATGCTTGTCGTAAGAGGCGATTAACGGGTTCGGGTTGTCAGGCTTGCTGACTTGATTGACACATGTCATTGTATCCTAATTGCGTAGATTGATGCTTATGCTGTTGATCACTGGATTATCTGGTTCAGACTCGATTATTTACAGCCCGCCGCCATATAGCTGGAATATTGCTGAATATGGCGTAAAACTAAACTCACTCACTTACTCGAACATACGGTTGTTGGAGAAAATGGCAGCATTAAACATGAATATATCATCATTTGAAGACAGTTCACTGTTTTCATTTATCAGCAAACATAGCCATGGATAACGCAAGGTTGTCATAGACTTGGACTTCGTGCGATGTCGTTTAATGTTGAAATGCTTTCCTTTACGACCCACAGGCCAGTACCTTACCAACATGGTCTACACTACTAGACTTCGGAACGAGAGACGTGGTGGTCACACTGTGGACTTAACCAGCGCCCAACAAAAACTGCAGGACAGCACTTACCAAGCCGTCATGTGCCTGAGCCTTGTAACATTAGGGTGGAGCAAGATGAAACTGACACTAGTCTGCGACACTACTTAGGGTGGAGCTACGTCCCACACTAGGGAGCTTGGCCACAGAGGAGTTCATCCAGTGTCGGAACAGAGGGTGGAGACTCAAGGTTGAGGGTGGTAACCACTTGTGGACTTAACCAGTACTTCGACTTGTGATGTGCCACAGTAGGAGGGAGTCAACAAAACTGCAGGACAGCACTTACACAGAGTAAGCCACAGTAGGGTGGAGTTACTTTGACTACTCAATGTCTGGGATTGCTGCTTAAAACCTGGAGCCATGAAACTTGCCAACAAGGTAGGGGCGACTTGTGATGTGCCACAGTAGGGTGGAGTACGTCATGCGAAATGTGCTTTACGTCATGAAACTTGCCACACAAGGTTGAGGTTGAGGCCACAGTGCGACTTGTGATGCGACTTGTGATGTGCCACAGTAGGGTGGGGGTCGACTTGAGACTGTTTTTTTATTTAATAGTTACGTGGTGTGTGTGTGCGTGCGTGCGTATGTGTCTGTCTGTATGCGTGCGTGTGTATATGTCTGCCTCTGTGTGTGTGTGTGTGTGTGTGTGTGTGTGTATGTGTGTACATGATATAGCAATTATTTAAAGGATTGTGTTATTGGTTCAAGGCTATATAGGTTACGAGTTGCGATTCTGCTGTCATGAATCACCCCCAGGATAGCTTACAACCACCCGATCCCGTTAGTCGCCTCTTACGACAACCATTGGTTGCTGAAGGCCAATTCTAACCGGAATCTACGGCCTCTGTATTGCTATCACGCTGTTGTGTAGAATCACGTTTTCTCTTACTGTCAACAGGCGCAGTTAACTTCTTCTGCCAGACGTACCCGGGCAAACGTGCCCCCAACCCCATCAACTGTGCCCAGTACATCAACTGTGCCCCCAGCCAGCCGCAGATCATAGAGTGTGGCTACCCCAGACTGTTTAACGGCTCCGTGTGTATCGACCCTGAGTACGTCAAGTGCGGGAAGCGCTATGAGCCCGTGGCACCATGTAAGTCTCCACATGAATGAGTGAGGGAATGAAGTTTGACGCCGCTGTAATTATATCTCAACATGTCAGCACAATCAGACTGAAACTCTAAAGTTGAGAAAGGTTTAGGAATGGTAAAAAAAACAAGAAGTGGTAAGGTGCTGTCAGAGGAAGGATCGTAATCGGGGAGAATAGTGCATTCGAACCCTCGAACCTCCGGATCCTGGCACAGCATGACGTCATGTGAATGTACGTGACCGTGTGGATAGGCATACTTAGCCTCAGGGTGGCCAAGTGGATAAAACATCCACTCGTAACATCATCTACACTGGGTTTTATTCTCAACACTTGTACAGTACACGTACTTGAGGCCTATGTTTGGTGTTATGTTGTTGGAATATTGTTCAGTGAAGTCATTACAGCATACTGCGAAACGTCCGCTAACCGTTGCCTCTTTCTTAAAATATGTTCTCTTTGCCTCCTATCCCTGATCCTGGATCGTTTGTTTTGACCAATGTAGGGCGCTGAGTTGTATTGGAACCACCTTGATATCTGTTTTGAGGTTGAAAAATTCGTCATTTCTGTCAATTATACATTCAAGGAATAAAACGATGACGATGACCATACGTTCCTCACAATAAGAGGGGAAGAATTAAAAGCATTGTGGAAAATATAATGATGTTTAATTTCAGGTGATTACGAACAGAACAAGCACTGTCCCAAGAGCCAGGTGAACTGTCTACCCTGTGAGAAGAGGATCCCATCTTGTGTCGGTCTGCCGGACGGCAACCAGTCTTATCCTGGACTTCCGCCATCAACACTCTTCGTGAAGTGCAGGAACAACCGGACCGAGTCCGTCATTAGATGCAAGAGTGACCTTTTTAACCCCCACTTAGGGGAGTGTGGAGGATCCATTAGCCAGCGTGAGTAACTCCTATTGTGAAGCCTGGATAGTCCGGCCCCTGTTAATCTTGAACCATGGCGTGACCTTTTTCTCATTGCCGGGGGGGCGGTGGGGTAGCCTAGTGGTTAAAGCGTTGGCTCGTCACGCCGAAGACCCGGGTTCGATTCCCCACATGGGCAAAATGTGTGAAGCCCATTTCTGGTGTCCCCCGCCGTGATATTGCTGGAATATTGCTAAAAGCGGCGTAAAACTAAACTCAGTCAGTCAGTCAGTCTCATTGTCTGTAGTACCTACGACGCTATTTATCTGATGTTGTACCGTTGCATCAAAACGCAATAATCCTGATCTTTAGTCATGAATATTTGACATTACGTAAACTCAAGGTCACCCTCGCTTTAGTCTCCCTCTCTCTCTCTCTCTCTGTTGAAATGCTTACTACCTTTTCACAAAACAGGTATGGTATTGTGAAACACTGTTTCTGTACACTGACGTGCAAAAGAAAGGTCACACCTGGAGCTTTTGGGTCATTAAAAGTAATTTGAAGGTCGGTTGGATTGTGACTTACAATTCACAAACATCACGTACTTGTTGCCAATGTCAGGATGTATTGCCATTTGAAAACAAGGTCTTCATGGTAGCATACGGTTACCATATCTCTTGAAATATGTTCACATTCCTCAGTCAGTAACGTGGGCTCTAGAGGGTTTCACCAAAAATCACTTCCGGTTTCCTATCACGTGACATGACAGTGATACTGATGCCGTTGGCAATACCCCAAACTCATTCAGTAAAACGTGTGTTGATAAATGAACATTTACCGTTCAGTTCTGATCGAGGACGCCTGCCGGAGGTTCCCCACGGCCGTGTTTGCGGATCCTGACAACTGTGCCCGCTACATCGACTGTTCGAAGCCCTACAGGCACATCCTGAACACCATGTACAAGCAGGAATGCAAGTACCCGGAACTGTTCTCTGTGGAGTCCAATAGTTGTGTCAACATCTTCAAGGACATTTCAACAACAGTCGACTGTGGAAATCGAACGGAACCACTGAATGCTTGTAAGTATTTTGTAACCACTGACCTAACGTGGCATATCAGATCGGTATTGAGTAATTAAAGGATGCAGATTATTGTCTGTTTGTTGTTTAACACCGCACTCAGCAATATTCCAGCAATATGGCGACGGTCTGCGTGTGACGAGTGAGTATAAATTTACGCCGCTTTTAGCAATATTCCAGCAATATCACGGCGGGGGACACCAGAAATGGGCTTCACACATTGTATCCATGTGGAGAATTGAACTCGGGTCTTCGGCGTGACGAGCGAAGGCTTTAACCACTAGGCTACCCCACGCCCCTCGACAGTAAATAATCGAGTGATCAACATCATCAGCATCGATCTACGCAACTGGGATACGATGACATGTGTCAATCAAGTCAGCAAGCCTGACCACCCGATCCCGTCAGTCGCTTCTTTCAACACGCATGGGTTGCTGAAGATCAGTTCTAACCCGGAGCTTCACGGGTTGCAGATTATTGACTGTTTAAGGTTTTTGCTCATTGTTCAGAGGTCCTCATTCATCTTTCATCGAATTCTTTAATTCTGTATCCGCTTTGGGAAATGTAGTTGTTTTATAAACTTGTATATGAAAAATGGCAATCTAAACATATCTTTGTCTATATCCCCTTACCACGGGGTTCCTTTTAGGCTGTTCTACAAAATAATTTATTAAAGGTTCAATATTTTGTTTTTATTTCAGGTGACTACCACGAACATTGTGGCATTACCAACTACCCCTACTGTAGTAATTGTACGAATACAATACCTAGCTGTGTCGGCCAGCCCGACCAACAGTACCTGAACTACCCCGTGGGCAACACCACTAGCTCCCGCTACTTTCTCTGCTACAGACACAGGACCGTCGTCTACGGCAACTGTTCCGATAGGGAGAGATTTGATGTCAGGTTGATGACATGCGTACCCCTGTAGTTCTTCCAATTATTTACGTTACGGTAAAGATTCTAGGTCGAACAAATACTGGTGGATAGTAGATAGATTTGGTCTCCTGATGTGGTTGATGTATGTGTAAAGATACTTGGTGAAGTATGGTGTGTAACTGTCTACTGCACGTATCTGGTAATCTCGTGTTGAGTATATTTTGTACAGACCTTCCCGAGAGAGCATCCCACATATCAATGTGTACCGTATACTCTCTGAAAACTGTCTGGTCACTGGTATGGTTATACACGTGAACTGATGACCTCTTGACCAGAGTATGTCCTTGACCTTTACGTATCTACGTTTTCAAGGATGTGACCTATCTGACAAAGTCTGTTTAATTTAATATGTGTATGTTAATTTATATTTCTCATCTAAAACAAATATGTCCTTGTTTTCTTGCACAAATTCATCGTTTAGAAGTTAACGAAAACTTAAGACTGCCTACCTTTAACTAATGGCTTTGAGTTTACATTTTCTTCATGAAATTCAACTTTTGTGGAAGTGTTTGTCTGGACGTGTTGGATCTCACGTTAATGACATCAAACGATCTATTTGGTCGAGTTTTAGTCTTAAATGGTGTTAGGAATCTTCTTTGAACCACGAATACCTTCATAATGTACCAAAGTGTCCCTTCCTGTCGCAGTCTCTGCATGAATGTTTCTCTTCAAACATCCCCCCCCCCTCCTCCCATTAAAGCACAACAATGGCAGCGTTGTTAATCAAGGAAAGATAACTCTTCTGAACATTTAGAGGAGGATACTGACAACCAAAACCAAACATTATTACCTCACCGATTTCAATGACCGACCGGCTTGTGAAACAAATCGTATTTTATACATCATTACCGTAACTGCTCTCGCATTACCATAATAATTTTACAAATTTACTATAATTGCCATTTTCTGCAGATACCAACTGTACAATTCCTACAAGCGGATGTAAATTGGGATGTCCATTAATTCAAACTCAAACAATCTATATTTATTGTTGTTCTGCATCACAATTCCAACTTCCCACAAGTAAAATGAGCTAAGTCCTTTCATTATAAACTACACTATATGAGTTTCAAAATTTCATTTGGACATCATCATTTTCGTTTTTTCAGGATACACAATCCCGACTTCAGCCCATTTCAGCAGTGATTGTACATTGTATTGACGGTATGCTGTATCAGTCTCTGTTGGTCATAGGTACATATATCATAGACTGTGGTCAATCGTTGGGACATAGGTTTTCGGACTTCATTCCTTGTCTTGCTTGAGCCTGACGTACCATGACTAATAAAATATGACTAAATATGACTAAAGTTCCGCACAGAGGCAGGCATCCGATGATCAGTTATTGGTATGTTGTCGACGCCAAAGCTTTTGCAAATATGGAGTTAAAACAGTTGTGTCCGAAAACCTGTGACCCAGCGATATGACCTCTTTGACCGCTGGCCGGGGTTCTCCAAATATGGAATACAAATAAATACAAGTAACAATTTGCGTGTTTTTCGGCTGTTATTTGTTCCTTATGAAAACGTGTATATGATAGCGTGGTATAGTGGTTAAAGTGTCGTACGGTTGGAACACTGCTGAATACGGCGTCCAACAAACACATACTCATGATATAGTCACCATTGTACAGCTGATTCTGCTTTTCGCAGGAATTCGTTTGGATTTGAAAAGTTAATTTCTTGCCGTTTTAGAAATATTCCAATTCTAGCATGATAGGAGACACAAGACTTCGCAATCGAACTCAGGTCTTTCGCCAGACGAGCGACCACTTTAGCCTCAACACCATACTATCAAAGAATGAAGACAAATACACAGTTCCACCAAGCCGTGCTGACTGACAGTGTCTGGAGTGAACATACTTCTTCATCATTCCGGGGGCGGTGGGGTAGCCTAGTGGTTAAAGCGTTGGCTCGTCACGCCGAAGACCCGGGTTCGAATCGCCACATGGGTACAATGTGTGAAGCCCATTTCTGGTGTCCCCCGCCGTGATGTTGCTGGAATATTGCTAAAAGCGGCGTAAAACCAAACTCAGTCAGTTAGTCATCATTCCACGTTATAGTGAAGGAATATTGCTAAAAGCGGCGTAAAACCAAACTCAGTCAGTCAGTCATCATTCCACGTTATAGTGAAGGAATATTGCTAACAGCGGCGTTAAACCAAACTCAGTCAGTCAGTCATCATTCCACGTTATAGAGAAGGAATATTGCTAAAAGCGGCGTAAAACCAAACTCAGTCAGTCAGTCATCATTCCACGTTATAGTGAAGGAATATTGCTAAAAGCGGCGTAAACCAAACTCAGTCAGTCAGTCATCATTCCACATTATAGTGAAGGAATATTGCTAAAAGAGGCGTAAAACCAAACTCAGTCAGTCAGTCATCATTCCACGTTATAGAGAAAGAATATTGCTAAAAGCCGCGTAAAACAAACTCAGTCAGTCAGTCATCATCCCACGTTATAGTGAAGGAATATTGCTAAAAGCGGCGTAAAACCAAACTCAGTCAGTCAGTCATCATTCCACGTTATAGTGAAGGAATATTGCTAAAAGCGGCGTAAACAGAAGTCACTCAATCACTCTTATTGTGTTAGCTAGTGTTTGTTTGGACGTTGTGAAGGACAAGAAATTAATCTTATTCTTAGGTACTTTAAAATGTCAAGCGGCCAACGCTCCAGATATGTCAGCCCGTGAAATTACAACGCATTGTCCAATACTGTGTCACACTGGCGATACCCCTTGTGTGAGTGAGTGTGTGAGTTTAGTTTTACGCCGCACTCAGCAATATTCCAGCTATATGACGGCGATCTGTAAATAATCGAGTCTGGACCAGACAATCCAGTGATAAACAGCATGAGCATCAAACTGCACAGTTGTGAACCGATGACATGTGACAACCAAGTCAGCGAGCCTGACCATCCGATCCCGTTAGTCGCCTCTTACGACAAGCATGGGTTACTGAAGATCAACATTCTAACCCGCACCTTCACGGGTGTCCCCTTGTGTGAGATGAAATGAAATCTCCGTGAAGTGTGGTTTATTCATCGCCCATCGATTAATTAACATGTACGTCATATTAAACATAACATTAACGTTCGAATTTACAAACATTTGCTGAAATTATTGTAATTCTCTTTTCATTTTAGTTAAAATCCATTTTCATGAGACCAAGTCGAACTTCCTCGCTAACAGCAAGTGCGAGGCCAAAACGTTCTGTATCTATGGTGAGTCAACCGTGACATATTTCGCGTTGCAAGACGATGTTAATGATATTTCTCTGCAGTTTCAACGAGACACTTAGGGTTTCACTGTGATTAATCCCTCTGAACTCAGGCGTCAGATTGTACCCTTTGACCCACAAGCTGGCGGGACGGGACATGCTTTTGTGTGGCTGAGTCAATTGTCTAGATATAGAACACTAATGATTACGTAAATACAGGTAAGTATACTCCCTAATGTGACGTACATCATCGTGGCTCGTTGATTTCATGTACTTGGGTGTGATCGATCTGAGTGCATATGCACCGAACTTCTTCACCCCATGTCAAGTTAGAGAAAAGACACACATACGAACGTACGCTCGGCAATGCAACAACGCGACATATTTTGACCTTGAAAACTGTCGCTTTGTAGCCCCTTTGTAAAATAACAATATTCTTCAAAGCGCGAAAATGCGACATTTAGACAAATGAACAAACGGTTAATTTTGACATTTTTACTAGCTTTTGTGAGGGCAACTACACGGCAATGTCCCGTCTAGGATTCCATAGATAAAAACAGGTAGCTTTTGAAAATAGTCCTTAAAATCAGATACGACTTTCTGAATGGCAAGAAATACATTCATAAATGATAGAGCGAGTACACAAAGTATGTCAAAGAATATTTGCTTCATATATCGTATCACAACAGAGATTTGTATATTTGACGCTCTCTAGCCCCCTGGGTGCCACAGGGACATATATGTCCTTCACAGGCTCCCACTGCGGGTCAGAAAATCGATAAACTAAGCCCTGGTTTACTATCCAGCCCCCCTACTATATAACATGTAAAGGTTCATCACAGAAATACGGTGACATGATCGAAAACCGGACAATTACGCAGACGTCAATGAATATATCGTATTTTCAAGGTCTCACAAGTATCAAAAGCTCTTGTCCATATCTCCAATGTGTGTAGGGGGCATATACATGCGCTTTCCGTGGGGATGCATTTGATGTTTTTTATTAAATCGCCAAAGACCGAGTTGCTGTGCCGGAAGCATACAAAAATAGGTCGTCAGCGCTTGACTTCACTACCTCCGGCGATCTGATTGGCTAACACATTGCACTGAATGAATGGATTATTATGTGTTTATATTAAAAATATTTTAGAATCAACTTGCAACTGGTCTTTGTCACCAATACCAACTGTCTAGATAAAATGAGACGAAACATATTGGGTGTGAAAACGAACGCTGTGTTCGAATGACTCGCTTGTCTGAAATAAAACAAATGACGAATTCCGATTTTACTCTGCGTAGCATTTTCTGAAATTTTCAAATATTCATCCGTATATTCATTGCTTGGAATATGCATGGAAAGAGCATCGTAGCAAGAAATAGGAAATTATAAATACATGTAGATACAATGCAATGATTTGATAATTCATGTGAAATTGTCAAAGTTTCCGTGCAGCGTGACGCCATGACTGACGCAAAATCACGCAGAACGACAACTGTAATTTTGGGTTCTTCTCTTACTTACAGTGAAAATGATAAAACATATAACAATACACAGATAGTCAGAATCATTCTGATTACTTACATGTCATATTTATGTACAAACGATCCCTGAATCAATGGAAGGGTCCTCGCAAAATCCTGTGTATCCTTGTCAGCAAAGCCACCATTTTGTAAGAAATAGGTCATCGGTAGTGATGTCACACGTCAACATTGTTGTACATATTAGGCAATTTCTTTGAGGTGAAGGTCGGTTGAACAAGAGTAAACACAATCGCCCAATCCTTCCGACTACACTGTCAGTATTATGATGTATATTTTGCGGATAGTTCAGATATTTTTTCATGAAACTGACCTCAGTATCTACATTTAGCCTTGTTCAATATCATATCATACGTGCATATAGGGTTTACGGTGTTTTATTCTTTGAAAGTTTTTGATTGTTTGAATAATATTTACATAAGAAATTGACATATTTAGTGCAGTACACCATATTCTAAACCTTTACACAAGTGTTAGAAGATCAAACGTAGCCATAACTGCAACTGCGTTAGTTCCTATGATGTACAATATTCAATGCATTTGGACTAATATGTTTCATATGAACAGGTTAATGAACGGCGATTTAATTCAACCTTATAAGTAAAACTGATAATATTTAATAAAAATGATTTATATATGTTATGAAATGTATATGCACACATACTTAGAGGAATTGTCTTGTTCATTGCATATTTTTGTGTCGTTTAATAGACAAAATAATGATGTATATTGATTGACCAGGTGCGCGTTTGTCGGAAACGTTTTATGATTCACTATCATTGTTTTCAATAATGTAATCAATTCATATTCGATTAAAAATATTGTGATGGCAATATATTTATACGAAAATGTTTAAAAATATATAAACCATGTCATGTCTTAATTTGGACAAATCTTACACCCATATTCTAATATATAGTTCCATATGTAAAAAAGCTATCTTTTTGCATCTTTCATTGCATACTTATGAAGAGAAATAGCTACATAAACATAAACATAAACAAAGAAAATTCTTATCCTAAACAAAATATTTGGGTGTTGTGAGATGTTATTTTTCATTTACGTTAAATTGATGCAAAACAGGTGCGCGCGTTGCTCACAATAAGATACACAGTCAAACCGTCTAATTGTTGATATATTCAGTACACTATTTAAATGGAAAAATCAGTAATTTTATGTTTTGTCTAAAGAGTGTTAAATTCTGACATAGAAGCCGAGACCTTTCACACAATTAATGGAAATTAGTTGAGATATATACTAATCAGCATACCAATGTCGTCTTTTTCCGACGTCACAAAATGTATAAAACAAGCAATGACGTCAACTAAAATGTTGTATTATTTTCAGCAATTACATTACATTTGAAGATATGGCTAGTACTCTGGAAATAATGATGCAAAATTAGTCAAAATACATCTACACAAACAGGAGAATATGGGAATCTAAGAACTAACTTTTATATCGGATAGGGCCATCCAAATCGCTATTACGTGCTTTACATTGACCTAGTGTTAAAGGGGAAGTGTACACGAATAAATCACATTTATTCTTATGTGAATCAAAGTGAACTGTTTTAATTAGTTAATACCAATGTTTGAAAATATACACTCATTTTTCTTACAATGTAAGTATAACCCTCAAAATAAGTGCTGAAATGTTATGCCAATATGAGGTATTTGTTTGCCGAGCTAAACAGGCCAGAGTTACCGCCCTTTGATTATGACGTAATTGG